TCTCTCTCTCTCTCTCTCTCCCTCTCTTATATGCACAAACACACATGCCCCTTTTCTCATACACACATACCCATTATACACATTTATATACAAACACAAATACATCCACAATTATTGTAAACAGTTAACACAATTTAGTTTATTCAGGGGGCAGCTTGCCTTGACGCCGTCTAGCCCGAGTGGGATACAACATCCCACAGACAGACTTATTACTCTATAAAATAACTTCCCTACACGGCAAGCCAACTCACAACTTCTGCATGCACTAGCAAAGAGTCCAATCATTACAGCACAGATCCCGATGCACATACACAACGCTCCAAAATAATTTTATATAACTGAAAAGATACCGTTTCATGTGGGTAATAAATAAGCAGAGACAAAGAAATAAACCACCATCAACAAAGTAATGCAGCCCCCCCCCCACACACACACTTTTTTGGTTCTGCTCCAAAGCAAATTATACATCCATTGAAACGCCTATGCGTACACGAACCGTGTTTTATTCGAAAATCTTAATTTAGTTTGTCACGCCAATGTACGAATAAGTACGTCTTTATCAGTGTGACTGACTTCATGTTTGTTTGCTTGTTTATTGATATGGTTCCTTTATTATCATAATAGAGTGCCGTTAAGTTAAACTAAAACTCAATTACTAAGAATTTGGGGGTCAATTTGTTAATGGTACAATTTGGGTCGACCATAACCCAGTCCTCAAAACCGATTAGACCTCTGTTATCTCATCCACTTACAGGAGAGCCGAAAGGAATCCAGTGCACCAAAAGTGGGATCCTGAACTTGGCACGTGGACAGATCGAGTTTTGGAATCTCGGACCACACGACACGCAAGCCCAGTTTGCTTCCATTGGCTTTGACGCAACCGTGTCCGAGATATTTACAACTTTTCTCTCTGGAGCCACTATGGCGGTGTTGAAAGATACCGAACGGCTTGGGAGAGAGCTGAGCTCTACCATCACAAAGCTAGGGGTCACAATCGTAACCTTTCCCCCCTCACTCCTCAATATCTACAAGCCTGAAGACTTCCCCACTTTGGAGAAGGTTGTCACGGCTGGCGAAGCGTGTGTGGTTTCAATAGCCGAAAGGTGGACTTGCAATTCGAAGAAAAGATTCTTCAACGCGTACGGGCCAGCAGAGAACACTGTGTGTGCTACCATGTTCGAGTTTTTGAGCGAGAGGAGGGCAGATCTCTTGTCAGAGGAGCTGCCAATAGGGAAAGCCATCCCAGGGGTGAGGGTCTACTTGCTGGACGATTTCCGTAAGCCTGTGCCGAGTGGAATGGTCGGGGAGATCTACATCGGAGGGAAAAGTCTGTCAAGGGGATATATCGGTCATGCCTATGGTAAAAACAGCGAAAGGTTCCGACCCAACTGCCTGGAAGATCAAAGTCAGAGCATAGAGAAAGGCACAGAGCCCATGCCATCAGGAGGTCAAGGTGACGCAACGTCTGAATGTCAGAACCAAGAGCATAAGATGCAGATATTATGTCAAGACAACAATTTAGTACATGGAAATCAAGGCCAGACGCCACAGGACGACCAACACCCTTGTCCTTTGGGTATGCTGTATCGTACGGGGGACCATGCCGTCCGCACAGACAACGGGAATCTGATCTTTCTAGGTCGGGTTGACAACCAAGTGAAACTTCGCGGCCAGATGGTCAACCTGGCGGAAGTGGAGATGATCATCAAGCAGATAACTGCAGTAAAGATGGTAGCTGTGGTCAAGCGTCCGGGTTCAGAAACTTCAGACCCCTACATTGCTGCCTTTGTTGCGCCATCGACTGTGAACCCCTCAGAAATCCGAGAGCATCTGTTGAGGACGTTGCCAAAGTTCGCAGTGCCAAGTGTAATCAGAGCTATAGAGACAGAAGAGTTCCCCAGCAACCTCAGTGGGAAGGTTGACAGAAAAAAGCTTGAAGTAGAGGACTCTGTCCTGACGCTAGACAGTGGCAAATTGAAAGCACGGAGTTCCCTGACTCAAACGCAACTTTCCTTGGCAAAAATATGGTGTAAGGTCTTAGGCCTTGATCTTACACGTGCTTACGATATGAACGGCCTGACTTCATTTTACGATACGGGCGGGAATTCGCTGCACCTGGTTCTGCTTCAAAGGGCTTTAGAACTAGAGCTGCAGGTGAGGCTGTCCTTCACAGAGCTGGGCGGCGCTGCGACGATCGAAGAATTGGATGCTTTAGTACAAATGAAAAGCCAAAGTCACGTGGGTCCAAAGCAAGTTGATTTCAATTCTGGACCCAGAAGAGATCAGATCTTAAGATACCAGCTTCTCCAAGACGCAAAGCTCGGGGCCGATAGGTCCCCACAGAAGGTGCTTCTTTCTGGAGCCACCGGCTTCCTTGGGGCTTTCCTGTTGCACGAAATCATGCTGCAGACGAGCGCCCACGTCTGGTGTATGGTGAGAGCATCAACTATTGTAAAGGCTTTCGAGAGAGTCGTTGTGAACATGAGACAGTACAATCTCTGGCAGGATGCTTTCGCTTGTAGGATCTGCGTGGTTCTGTCTGACATCAGCAAACCAAAACTGGGGATAGATGAGACCGTGTACAAAACACTGGCCAATGAAATCGACGTTGTATTCATGAACGGCGCGAAGATGAACTTTAACACTGATTATTGGGACCACAAAGTCGCGAATGTTGATGGGACGAAAGAGTTCATTGCGTTCGCAATGTTTTCAAAGAAAAAATTCATTTTCTCCACCTCCTCCCTCTCTGTTTTTCTTTTCCCATCCTCGGAAAGGGTTGAGAAGCATAAAGGCAATCGAGTGGTGTTCAAAGAAAATGATGAACTTCATGACCCGGTGTTGCTCTCCGGGGGATACGGCCAGAGCAAATGGGTGTCTGAAAAATTAGTGTCACAGGCCTTAGACAAAGGACTTGGTGGTGCAATCTTCAGACCTGCTCGTGTTTCTGGGGATTCCAAAACCGGAGTTGGGCCGACTGGCGACTTGTTTGCCTCACTTCTCATTGGAGTGGAACAACTGGGAGTTGCCCCTAACCTAGATTTCCCGTTTGACCTCACCCCAGTTGACTATTGCGCCAAGGCTATGGTAGAGATCATGACCCAGATCTGCGGTGACTCCGAAAAGCAAATGCCTAGGGTGTACCATTTGTTCAACCACGCCACCATCTCATTCCGTCAGCTCTTTGCAGAGTCAGAGTCGATATTAGAACTGCCGCTGGACGAGTGGAGAGAAGAATTAACAAAAGCTTCCGAGGACAACCCCCTTCTTCCCATGGCTCCATTCTTCCATTCAGACTTCTGGGACCGAGCGGCGCAGTGCTGGCCAGTGTTTGACACCTCCAACACCAACCGCTACGTGTCCAAGGCTTGTCACAGTCTCCTACAGCCAACAGAACAATTGCTGAAGCTCTACTGGAATTTCTTTCACAGTCAGTCCAGTGACACAACTGCCTCCCCCAGGAGAACCTGTAGGGCTACTGGTTTGAGAGGTCTGAAAGCCTCTAGTTAGGTTCGAATATCTTTTATACATGTACAACCGGCGTCTCTGTGTGTAGTGATTTGGCTCTTCGACATTGCACAAAGAAGACGTGATTTCTATTCTCTAAAAGGGAAGAAGAAGAAGAAAAAGAAGAAGAAGAAGAAGAAGAAGAAGAAGAAGAAGAAGAAGAAGAAGAAGAAGAAGAAGAAGAAGAAGAAGAAGAAGAAGAAGAAGAAGAAGAAGAAGAAGAAGAAGAAGAAGAAGAAGAAGAAGAAGAAGAAGAAAAAGAAGAAGAAGAAGAAGAAGAAGAAGAAGAAGAAGAAGAAGAAGAAGAAGAAGAAGAAGAAGAAGAAGAAGGAAGGAAAAAAGAGAGGGAGAGAGATAGATAGATAGATAGATAGATAGATAGATAGATAGATAGATAGATAGATAGATAGATAGATAGAGAGAGAGAGAGAGAGAGAGAGAGAGACAGACAGACAGAGACAGAGACAGAGACAGAGAGAGACAGAGGGAGAGACAGAGAGAGAGGGAAGCAGAGAGAGAGAGAGAGAGAGAGAGAGAGAGAGAGAGAGAGAGAGAGAGAGGGGGGGGGGAGGAGCATTTTATAAAGCATTTCCTCCTTACTGCAGGAATGCAGCATCTCACTTGACCGGAGTTGGGCCTTGACAGGCTGGGTCGAATTATCTAAATTGCGTAGATGGTAAATCAAATGTGCCATTATTTTAAATGTATATCTTCGACATTAAAATGTTTGAACCCGTGTGATATTCCTGCTTTTAATAAACAAGAGTACAAACATGATTTGCTGTATTTTAACAAGTGCATTCTATTTTCTTTACTTTGAAAAACAACGTTCAATTTCAAGTACAAAAATATTATCTAGAAGCAATCGAAGGTCTTTTGATGAATCTGTAATTAAACTCATCAGTATACATGCTTTTTATAAATATTTCCTCCATCTACTTTGTTGCCTTGAATCTTTTCGGTAATCATTTCTGGGGATTATTAAATTATATGTTATATTAAAGGGACTTGGTGACAAACCACATTGTTGTCCAACTCCTCTTTTGATCTGATTTCCTGTACTGTCCCTGGATTCGTACTGCAGAATTCTGCTTCAAATACATATTTCTATCATTGTTTTAATCCTTTCAGTCTATGACTATCCCCCACTCTAAAGGTGTCAATATTTCATCGTTTCTGCAAGAGCCTTTGAATAACCAATGAAGCATAAACTATATTAGAGCTTTCTATGCTTCAATACAACTTTCCATGAACATTGATTGATATGGCAGCTATAGTATTTCAGTTACCCTGTTAGGAACCATCCAGAGTCAGATCTGCGGCAGACATCGGCGATCATGGTTCTCCACCCATTCCTTTGCTAGGATGCTCTTAAAAAAGCTACGTTTTCCCGATCTTTCCCCATTACCCATTTGTTTAGGTTCCCTAAGTAGGTTGCTCTGGTCCTACTCCTGCCTCGATTGCCTCCAGTTTTGTCAGTGAAAGCTAGATGTTCAAGACCTTTATTCAGCTGTCCGAAAAACTACATTTGTCATTTCCTTCTGGTTTTTAACAGTGATCGTCCCACGTGGGCTTCATCAAGCACTACTTCGTTTGATTTCTTTTCCTTCCTCGATATTCTCAACAGTCTCCTAAAAAAAACACATTTCGGTTGCTTCTATTTTTTTTCACTGCCTTTAGTGATTATCCAGCTTTCACAGCCATATAGGAAGGTTGAACATACATAGCAGTTCAGAACTTTCATTTTGTTAATCATTGCCATTGAGATGGTTCTGTTTTCCAGGATTGGGGTCATTTTATTGAACCTAGCCTTAGCCATTGTAATTCTCCGTTTTATTTCTGTTGAACACTTGGCCTCAGATGATATCATATATCATAGATATTTAAACTGTTGGACTTTTTTTGATCTTTTCACATTTGCTAATGAGATTACAAATTAGGATTTGCTGCTTCTTTCGATGTTACCAGGCCTTCTGTTTTCTTTACATTCAATAATAACCGTTTACGTTCACTTTCCGTTACAACAGTACCTAGAAGTGATTGAAGGTCCTTTTCTGAGTCTACTATTAAGTGGTGGGGGCTACACCTGAACGCTATCTCGCTTATTACCTGACCAAATTTTACGAAATTTCACACATATAACATGCATAGTAAGGAGTCTTAAAATCCGGAATCAAATTTGATAAAAAAAAGTTTCGTTTCCATGGATACCGCGGCATATTGGATTATGTTTACATGTCTTACGTAATGAATACCGCACTCATTGTTCACGGAAACTGATTGTTTTTTTTTGCATGTGTGTTAACAAATCAATTAGAACATTTTTAAATGAATTTTTTCCTGAGGTAGCATTCAAGTTTGCCAAAAATCCGTGAAAATCCACACTCCAGACACCACCAATAAAAATCTATTACATGTATAAAAAATTCAACAGAAAAATATTTAGTATTACATCTTTTCTTCATTCAGTGAAATTTTCATGAAGATTGGAAGAAAAATGGTGGAGTTATAAAAAAATATAGAGAAAAGTTGCGTTTTGAGAAAACGGCCGATAAAGAAAAATAAAATACTGACTTAATGAGGAAATGGTGGTGACAAAAATGCCCGGTATGTGGAAAAGTACGGTTTTTGGGGGTTCTTATGCGAACGAAATAGTTGTAGGAGAGGCTGACGAAGCTAAAATTGCCCACAACTCAAATTCCATAATTTTGAGCCGAATCAGGGCTTTGGGGGTGTAGCCCCCCGTTAAAAAAACTGTGTTATCGGCATGCCTGATGTTATTTGTATTTTCGTCATTCACTTTGAGACCTGGACATTCTTCTCTGTTTCTAAGGATTGCATGCTAAAGAGGTCTGGTGACGTAACACATCCTTGCCTTATTCCTCTTCTAATCTGCGTTTATTCATTGTATTCTTCACTAATTCGTAAAGCAGCGTTTTGGTCTCAATAAAATTTCTGATAATTCTTTGATCTTTTCCATCTGTGTCCAGTATTTAAATAGCTCATCATCTCCAACTCTATCGAAAGCCGTTGAATAATCAATGAAGCATAAATACTGATCTTTTTGTGCTTAAGCACATCTTTCCATTCACATTGTTAAGGTGAATATAGCAATTCTAGCCGAATTGTTTTTTGGATATCTCTGGTTTTAGCCTTTTTCGCATGCTTCCCATTAGTAATCGCAGGAATATTTTTGTAAAAAGACTCATCACGCTAATTGTTCTATGTATATCACACTCAGTGGCACGTGGTGCTTTAGGTAAAGCTATAAAAACTGACTTCTTCATATATTCTGGGATCTCCCCGCCGCTGTCATGAATAGTATTTAGGAGCTTTGTTGTTATTTCAGGGCACAGTTTTTCGAGCTCGACAATCACTTCAACTGGAATATTATCTGGCCCTGTGACTTTTCTTTGTTTTATTTTCCTAATGGCAGCTTGTACTTCTGCTTACAGTATTGGTGGTCCACTTATTTCCTTCCTTATCACCGGATTTTCTCCTCCGTTATCTTTGAAAAGTTCTTCTATGTTCTTTCATTTTCCTCTTTAGTTCTTCCGATTTTGTAATGTTTTCCAGAGCTTGAAATTTATTGCTTACTTCTAAGGAGAAACGTTCTTACAGTTTTTGATTTGTCTTTAAAATATGTCAAATTTTGGTTGATACGTCGACTTTATATAATGATTGGGCTCATTTTATTGAAACTAGCCTTAGCTATTGCAAATCTCCGTTTTATTTCTGTGTAACATTTAGCATCAGATGTTATTATATAACCCAGAAATTTAAACTATTGGATTTGTTTGATCTTTTCGCCTTTGCTAATGAGATTACAAATATGATTTGCTACTTCCTCATCGTTTACAGTAATATTTTGTGAAACGACCCATAAAGCTGATGATTCTTTGCAGCTCTATGTAGCATGGCATGTAATTGTATCTAAAACATCGTTCGTTAGCTATTCAAATACTAAGCCCAGCGTTTTGAATATTGTAGTTTCTTTCTCCGTCTGTGGTGTTGGTTGCATGTGCTTGAGAAATGTTCACGAACTTGAAATTCTAAATTATTGAGGAAAAAAAGAAAAAAAAAGAAACCATAATGTGGTCTTTATATTCAATCTTTAAAAAAAGAAACGTTTTTCCTCTATCCTCGTATTACGTTCTGGGCTTAGAACATTTGGACAGCTGTTGGTTCTTTACTTAATCCGGATTTACCGAAGACAAAAGTCTTTTTGTCTTAATTGTATGTTTGGTCCATGTTGTCTCCCACCTTGTGATACAATCTCGCTGACATTGACTTGAAATGGTAAAGGTGCGAGTAACTAATACGCTAGCACTTGGTCTGAAATGATTTCCAGGATATGAAAGTCGGTGTTGTTTTTCTTCTCTCCCGAGGGTCGAAGCTTATAGAGGATCCATTGTCGCGTAATTTGATAGATGCATGTGGACGTTGGTCAAATGAGGTTCATGTGGCCTTCATGCCCAAACGTGTACCTACCATTGCTGTATTTGTAAACCGTGATGATGTAGTTTGTTTATTATCTAACCTTGTTTTTGTGTGGGTTTTTTATCAGTGCCGCTCTAGAAAGTAGAAATTGTAGTTGACACACACGTGACTAGTTTACCTTTGTCATAAGGAAAGGTAAAAATAAATTCATACTTCATGGTGACAAATGCGTTGGTGTCGTTTTTAACACAATTTGTGTGGGTGGTTGGCTTTCCTATCAAACGTCTATCGTCCTTATCTCCTCTTCTTTTTTATGTTTGTTACTGTTACTCTTGTAACACCTCTAGTCTTCTGGCGCTCATATGACCTTATGCAGTTGCGAGCGCGTAAAACCTCAACTAAAACTAAAAATCACTTTGTGTCCTGGACGCATTTCATAATTTATTATACAACCGACTCTTCCAAGTCCACGAACACGTTCGAAGCTTAAAGCTGACTACAGCGACATTCACAATAGGACCATATAAACTCTATATAAAACTCTCCAAGTAAAACTAGAATTGCAGTGTAGAATGTTTCGGCAACTCTCGTTGACCCAGATGATAAATATCTTATGGTCCTTTTGACACTGTTTAGACAACAGAAATCAAGCTGGAATAAACATCAAACCTGTTCATAAGGATTGACTGACTCAAACTGCACGGAACACTTCGTTCAGGCAAAAATGCCAAGATACTCTTTCCTGGGTATGATAAGATTTGTTATGTGAGAATCGAACTCCTGTCTTCCTCATGGAAGGTGAAGTGCGATCCATGAGATCGCGGACGCATCAACACATTGAGACTTTAAAATTTATATTTCCCGCCTAGGATCTACAGTGAAGTCGGCTTTCGATTCGCAGGGGTCAAAGCCCAACACTAACGAATCACTTCTAACTTGAATGACATGTACTGGGCTCTGGACTGGGAAGGCGGAATATCAAAGCTTAAAAATCCAGCGTCTGTGGTATAGCGGTTAGGCGCTTAGCTGTCGCATGCAGGAGACGCGAGTTCGATTTTCTAGTGGGGAAAACATTATTATAGAGAATTTAGGACTTTCTGTTAGGATGCTGTATCATGCTTAGCCAGGGTTGGCCCTGGTAGGCAGGGTAGGCAGGGTAGGAAGCCAGCCTTCCAGATATTCTAAATTGTGTCCATTGGGGGTGTAAAAATCTACATTAACCATAGTTTTAAAGCTGCTTGGCCTTGGAAAGGACTGTCAAAGCAAAAGAGTTAAGCGCGCACATGTTGGGCTTTATTCTCTATTTTTGAAAGATTTTACTGCCGTCTTGCCAGATACATACATGGGTTATTGTGTACGAAGGAGTAAAGGGATGTAAATTCACTAATGTGCAATTTACGTTGCGGAAGTGTATTTCATAAGTAGCTTCCCCTTGTGTCGCCAGTCGTCATGTCGGGCTCTCCAACAATCCCATCCTGTGGGTTCATTCAAGTCAGTACTTAACCTTTTTATTGCCAGCGCCCACTTTTGGCACTTTTAAGAGTTTGGCACTTTCGAATCGCCCATCAAAATGTATTTCAAGCGGGACATAGAGTAATATCTATCAATTCACGGGTGATCCCCACCGTCCATTAATAGAGATACCGCCCAAAGTAGCCAACACTTTCTGTGTAATGGGTAAGATAAGCTAAAATCTCTTTGTAGATCAGTGCGGCATATGCCCAGTTTTTAATGTTCCCACACAAAATGAAAGGAAGTGTGTGTGTGTGTGTGTGTGTGTGTGTGTGTGTGTGTGTGTGTGTGTGTGTGTGTGTGTGTCCCACAGACAGACCGGACAATTTCAAGGGATGAGTTTTGAAAAAAAGTTTATTGTAGTTTTGAGCCTCTAAACATGAACTAGACTTGAAACAATTTCAAATGGAAAAGTTGGGTTTTAAAAATCTGTGGTAAGACAATACCCTGAGCAATGACCTACGTAGGTTAACACTCGCAAAGACAAAGCCTATTCTGTCGCGTCCAAAAAGGCGGCAATTGATACTTGAGAAAAAGTCTATTGAAACAAAAACGACCATAGCCAATAATAATTATACGCTCTACACAAATATACGAACACACCCATGTATAAGACTCACGTACCCCAGTGCTCACTCATTAACCTAAACCACCTGACCGTCAGCGGCATAATGGTAACAAGAATATCACCTCAAAAAGTCCACAAAAAATCGTACTGTCGCTCTGTCTCTTATCTCTACCCCCGCCCCCCCCCACCCCCACCCCAGTTTTAACTCTCACTAAACAATTTTAAACCTAAAAACTCCGAAAGTGAATCAAAACTCCAAAAAAAAAAAAAAAAAAGTACACACATTCACAAAACTGCAGACATGCGCAGACCAGTTGCAACTGGCTCGCCTCAGGGAAAAACCTGGCACCTGCAGAATCCAGGAACATAGAAAAAGGAAAAGGCCACGCCAGTCTCCCTCTCGGGTGCGTATATCGCTAGATGCATAACGGTGCTCGCCTCGGTACAGTGACCCCGCGATAGGATGGTGCCAGGCTGTCCACAGATTCCAGGAGAGTTCCTGCGGAACAGAAGTGTTAATACGTTAAGGAGAAGCGTGTCGACGTAATAGCGGCCACATACTGCTGTGAAAAAGCAGGCTTTATTTAGCCCGAGTTAAGAAACGCGCTATATGCTGTAACGGTCGTTTGGTGTTGAGGAAAAAGGCTTTGGTATAGTGGGATTAAAGAGACGCATATCGACATTCCTCATTAGTACGTGGGAAATTAAAAAAAAACCCAGAAGGAACGAAAAGAAATAGCCGAGACAAAGAGAAGAGAGGAGAGAGACAGAGACGGGGGG